TCCTCAGTGCCCAGGGCTCCTGCCCCTCCCCCATTGCAGCCTCATCTAGTACACAGGAGGGCACTGTTCAGAGGCCGTAGGACTACAGAGTGGCTTTTGTGGCTGGTGTCTAGGATGCCATTGGCAGCCTGGGGTGGGGAGGGGACACAAGGCCCAGGCCCCTGGTTTATCTGTTGATATGAGGCTAGGGCAGGGCCTTCAGAAAAGATGGACACACTGAGGCTGGAGAAGGGCCTCTGACAGCATCCTACCCCTGGGACATGATGTGGAGAAGTTACTGGGCCTGATTGGTGTGTGTGTGTGTGTGTGTGTGTGTGTGTGTGTGTGTGTGTGTGTGTGTGTGTGTGTGTGTGTGTGTGTGTGTGTGTGTGTGTGTGTGTGTGTTGTTGTTGTTGTTGTTGTTGTTGTTGTTGTTGTTGTTATTGTTAAGTTTACACTGGAGTGGTTTCTTCCTAGGCTAGACTGGATCTAGATGGGAATCTCTGGGTATGGCCTGGAGCAGTTAACTCCAGCCCCCAGTGCTCCAAAGACTTAAATCTAGGGTCATGATGGGCCATTCTTATTCTTGCCTGCAGGTGGCGCTCAGGGAGCCAAGTCATCAGATCCCCTTTCTCCTCCCCTGATTCCTGTTCTTCACTCTACCTGCTAAGGCATCTATGAATTCCATCAGTGGCTCCCTACTACCACTCTCCCCACACCCCAAGGCTTCTCTGAGGGCCCTAGAAGATGCTGTGTCCTGTAGAGGCGGGCCAGCCTTCTCTGCAGAACAATGGCTAGACACTAGGAAGAGATTCCTGGAAGTAGAGAAATTGGGCCTTGGGAAAGGTGTTGGGAGAAAGGGGCCTATGGAGGATTTGGTGCAAATTGGACACTGTCTGTGGGAACCAGAGCGGGTAGAAGGGTGTATAATATATACTTCTCAGTGTTACTCAGACCTGGAGATGGGAACTCTACCAGAGAGGAGGCCTCTGTGTGTGTGTGTGTGTGTGTGTGTGTGTGTGTGTGTGTTTGTTGTTGTTGTTTTGTTTTTTGTTTTTTTATTTTTGGTGGTGGGGGGTCAGTCACCTGGAGAGAGGGCCAATGATGGCCTTATTTGAAGTAGGGAACATTTAACCCAAGGATCCCTCAACACTTGCTATGGGAAACATGGACCTTCTCTAGCCTATTTTGAAGCTTGTAGGGTCTAAAACTATATGGACTGTTCATGACAGGCCAGACTGCCTTCCCAGTTCCTGATGGATGCTTGGACCATCTCTGGTGGATGAGGCTGGCAGGAACCTGCAAGGGATGGCAGGCATTCACTAAGGAAGTACAGAGCATGGCCTTGGGAGGAGTGAAACTTGGGAAGCCTGGTCCATCCCTGGGGAACCCAGGCACCTTCTCAAGGCGCAGTCTGGGGAGGGGAGGGACACAGGCTAGGTAGAGCAGAGAATGTCTTTGTATGCTACAGTGGCTGCAGGGCCATTTCCTGTGGGAGAACACTTGATTCAGCTATCCTCTTCCCCTAGCTCCTGGCCACCAAGATTTTCTGAAATTTGCTGGCTAGGTGAGTCCTCCTTTCCCAGCCTGACTGGCTCAGCTCCCTATGGACAACTGAGAGGATGTACCTCTGAGGCTGGGCTGTCCCGCACATTATAGAAACACACCTTGCCTGTGCTCATATAAACACACATACGTGACATGTGTGAATGCAGTCACACGAGGGACACATGACTGCTCCACCTCCCCATCTGGGTGACGGCAACCAGCTGTTCCCACTTACCCACTAGTCATTGTCTGTGACCTGCGTCCTTACTGATAAGGGTCTCTTTTCTCTCTCCTTGCCACGTGTCCCCTGAAATCACAGATGCCTCTAATGACGATTAGATGAGGCCTGAACCACAAGTCTGAGAAATCCACTTGGGTTCTGTCCTCCAAGATGCCAACCTTAGGGCCTGAGCTTGACCTAGCATGTGCCAACAGGGAGCAAAGCCCTGTTGTATCCTACTCAGAGTTCTTTCCTAGAGGGCTTGTTTGAGCTGAGAAGGATGAGAGAAGACTTGTGGGAGAAGCCATGTAGGTGGCTGCAGTCAGGCTGGGTGGGGCCCAGTGTGTTGACACCCAGATTTCTTCCTAGACCTATCTTGTGACAGAGGACAGCAAGGCCCTGCTATGGCTCTCTTGTGTGGCTGTGATGTTTCTGAGCCAGCTGTGCCTTTTCCAAAGCTAGGGATGGGGCAAGTTCAAGTCTAAGGTGCTTTAGAGCTGTGGTTCTCAACCCCCTTGGGGTCCTGCATATCAGGTATTTACATTACAATTCATAATGGCAGCAAAATTACAGTTCTGAAGTAGTCATGAAATGTTCTAGACCAAGTGCTTCTCAACCTTCCTAATGCTGTAACCTTTTAATACAGTTCCTCATGTTGTGGTGATGTCCAACCATAATATTATTTCGTGACTATTTTGTAACTGTAATTTTGCTGCTTTAGAGACTGACAGACCACCTGGAAGAGACCTAAGACTTACCATCTTCATCCCTTGGTGGCCCTCTACCCCCCTACAGGAGTTTTAAGGACATGATTGAGGAGTCCGTGGGTGATATTTGTTGAAGGCTTGAGATTACCAGGAATATGGTTGCCCTCACCTGCCCCCTCTCCTATCTCTCACTGGGACCTCCTACTTTCTTAATAACCAGTACAGAAATGTTCCCTCTTGGTCCCCTACCTTAGTTGGCTCTGGCTCTAGGGCCTTCTTCCTGCCTTTCCCTTGGCCTTTTTTGGCTCCCAGCCTGCAAGTGAGCCCCTGGCTGTCTGGTGACTTGTTTAAGGGACAGCTCTGTGGCGACACTGTCACTGGCCTCCATGGCCAACTTTTGCCCCTGGAATGGACATTAGGAACCTATGTACCTGTCCAGTACTCAAGGGGTAGTTGGCCATCCTACAGGAGTTGACCAGTGACAAGAGTGTGGCCAGATCAGCTAGTACCCTGGATTCCTGGGAGGGTAGCAAGTGGGGGCAAGGCAGGGATCCTCTGTGGACCTTAGTGTGGCCACCAGTGAAGTGGATATGAAACAAGAGCCCTTAGGGTCTCTGCTGCAGTGACAGAGTGCAGGCACGGGGCAGTGAGTGCCATGTACTGTCCAAAAACTGAAATGAGCTTGCCTGTGTTTCTCACCATGTTGACCCTTGGATGCCAGTGCCACATGGCTCTAGGGACACTACCAATACCCCCCCCACTGTCTGGCTAGGTTAGGAGTGCAGAATCTATCCAAGGCCATGTGGTTTTTTTCCAGAAGGGATGCTAGAGGCCTGAGGGTGCTTGTATTTGACCTCAGATCTGGAGGTGGGGCTCAAGAGCCAATGTTCTCCTGTGATAAGAGAGCCCAGGAGTCAGTGGTCCTTCCAAGCTATGTAGGCCCCTTGCAGTGGATTTGGAGGTGATCACAGTCATGAGTTGTTGCTCCCAAGATGGCCTAGGCTTCTTAGATACCATAAGTTGGACTGAACAGAGTGAGATCGGCTGGCCTGGAGTTGGGTAGCAACACCATTGGAGGCTGTGCCAGACTTGGCTGAGTTCTTCCTCTAGACCTCACCAACATTACCCTGGGCCTGGCACTGACCTCTGCTTTTCATGGGGGAGAGTATGCCCCCTGGGGTGGCTCTGCTGAGGGACTGGAGTCAGGAACAACAGAGTGAGAGGTCAACTGTGAGGCACTGGCCATAGCTTCTCTGTTCCATAATGGGGAGGATAGTCAGGGAGGCAGTGTGAGGCCACATCAAAGGTCACTCCTAAGGGTATTCACCTTGGAGCTGGCAGACTTAGAGGTAGAGGTAGGAGACATGGGAAGTGATTTTCGGGGTGCCTGGGGTACCAGGGCTAGACATTAGCAGTGCAGGTTTCAATGCTCCTGGGAGCAGTTGGGGTCCTGATCATCTATAGATGCACAAACAGAGGCTCTGTGAGGACTGTCCAGCTTCAGGCATCCTGGCATCCATCAGCTCAGAACCTCCACCCAGGCTGGGCTGGGCCTGGAGGCAGTCCAGGAAGGACACCAGGATGAGATGCAGATCTGTGACTGACCTTGAATCGCTGGTCAGTTTGGGCCCAGGCTGCATGGAGAGTTCCTGAGGTGGCAGCAGGCTGCTACATATGCAGGGTCAGCAGAGCCAATGGGTCTGCACCCAGAGGCTGAGAGGACAAGGAAGGAGCGACAGTGGGGAAACTGTTATCTTAAACAAGGCAGGTCTGGGCTGGGTGACACACAGCAAGCATGCTGAGCCCAGACTAGCTGTCAAGTCCTTGCCCTCAGGAGTGCACAGGGAACCACCCTTTGGTGCCACTCCTGCAGATGGAAGTATTGGCCAGAGGCACTCACTCACTCATGTCCAGGGTTTGGGTGGGTTTTATTCTATTATCCACTCTCTGTGACCTTTAGGAAGCCACATATTCTCAGCTTCCTCATCATGGCATGTGGGGTAGTAGAGTGAGGGAGGAATCCCCAGCTGGAGTGCATGGTTCCGACCCTGCCATGGATAGGAAGCCAGCAGTGGATGCTGTCACAGTTGCACCATGTCTGAAATCTTTCATCTCCAGAGCTGCATCATACCCCCTGTTATTACAGTCCATACCCATTCCAGGTCTGTTGTTGGGAGCCGTGGAGATACCATGGTGCCTGGGGGCACACCAGGGTCATACACTGCCAAAGCCTCATGCCTCACTAGACTTACTGAGTTCCTGCCTCTTCAAGTCCTGAGCCTCAGAGGCTTACACTGTCCCTTCTGCTTTTTCTTCCAGCTACCCTTGGAGGCCACAGGCAAACACCAGGAGCTTGGACTTTAGGAGTCAACGCTGCTCTCACTGTCTCCTGAAACCTTGCCCTGACCCCACCTTGCCTTCACCCAGACCCTGCCTCCAGCCCACTGCCCTGGACGGCCCTGCCTGCTGCCGGTCCCTGGCATGTCAAGGCCTGGCCTGCACTTGCCTGCCCAGCCCGCGGAACTCCAGCGGCCCCGCGAGCTAGGATGAGGGGCCAGGCTGCCGCCCCGGGCCCCATCTGGATCCTTGCTCCACTCCTGTTGCTACTATTGCTACTGGGGCGCCGGGCGCGTGCTGCCTCTGGTGCAGACATAGGGCCTGGGGCAGAGCAGTGCACCACGTTAGTGCAAGGCAAGTTCTTCGGCTACTTCTCAGCAGCTGCTGTGTTCCCAGCCAACGCCTCACGCTGCTCTTGGACCCTTCGCAATCCGGACCCTCGTCGTTACACACTCTACATGAAGGTGGCCAAGGCACCCGCACCTTGCAGCAGCCCAGGCCGTGTCCGTACCTATCAGTTCGATTCCTTCTTGGAGTCCACACGCACCTATCTGGGTGTGGAGAGCTTTGACGAAGTTCTGCAGCTCTGCGATCCCTCGGCACCCCTGGCCTTCCTGCAGGCCAGCAAGCAGTTTCTACAGATGCAGCGCCAACAGCCACCCCAAGATGGTGACCTTGGTCCCCGGAGCACGTTCCCAAACTCTGGTGACGACTTCTCTGTGGAGTACCTGGTCGTGGGCAATCGCAACCCCAGCCATGCTGCCTGTCAAATGCTGTGCCGCTGGCTGGATGCCTGTCTAGCTGGCAGCCGCAGCTCACACCCCTGTGGCATCATGCAAACTCCCTGTGCCTGCCTGGGTGGAGATGCTGGAGACCCTGCTTCCAGCCCCTTGGTCCCCCGTGGGGATGTCTGCTTGAGGGATGGAGTAGCTGGTGGCCCTGAGAACTGCCTCACCAGCCTGACCCAGGACCGGGGCAGGCATGGCTCAGCAGGTGAGTGGTGAAAAAAGGACCCTGTACAGTGCTGCAGCAGTGGGGGTGAGAGCATGAGGCAAAGGGCAGTGCCAAAGGTCAGAGTCTATTCAGCATCATCTTTGTCATCTGGGTTGACAGACGATGTGTAGAGCTCAAGTACACTGATAGCTCTCTGTTCCCAGGGTAGGAAGCTTAACTAGCCCACATACGGTGGCATGTGAATGAAGGAAGGAAGAAGTGATCAGGAGCCAGTTTCCTCAAGCCACTTCCTCAATGACATTTCCAACCATCCCAAGGCTGTGGTAGATGGTTTCCAGGGACTGAAGTGGAGGTCATCGCTGCCCCAGGGTAGAGCATGGGAATATGTATAGACTGAGTATTCGTAGGTCTGTTGACAGGAAGTAAGGTGTGGGGGTTCAGTGTAGCTGCCACAGCAGCTGCCACTGAGGTGTAGTAATGACATCAGGGACAAAAATGCCATCCTGGTCTTAGGGCCACAGGAAAGAGGACAAAACACCACCCAACAGTATATAGCCATCTCAGGCAGAAACAGGTGTCAAGGACATACAGAAGCCCAGTGTTGAAGGAGCCACTGTCTTAATTAAAGGCTAGAGAGATCCCAGGGGCTGGACACCTGAGGACAGTGACCCTTGGGGAAGGATGGCAGGGCTCAGGCTTGATAGGAATAGTAGGAATAGGTGTGGTTGACAACTAGTCATGGAGCTATAATATTTTTGTGAGTGTCCCGCCCGCTGCTGAAAGTGGGGGTGGAGACATTGGAGAAAGAGAGATGGGGCATCCAAGATTTAAGCTGGAGACCTGAGCTGAGTCAACATCAAGAAGACATTGGGGTATGAGAAGTCAAGGCTGTTGTCCACCTGGTGTGCAGGGCTTAGCCAAGGCTGACACCAGGAGGGCCAGAGTGGATGGTGATACCCATGGAGCATGCAGCAGCCTTAGTATTTCCCGAGACCATGAGGTTGTGCAGGCTGCAAAGAAATTTCCCAACCCTGAGCACATTCCGGTCAAGGCCCTGTGGCAGGTCTCAGGTCAGAACCTCTGTGAAGCTGAGGGTCCTCAGAGGACATTCTGCACACATCATTGTGGTGGGAAGGAGGGTGGAGGGCTACCCTTCCTGCTGGGTAAGTTGGAGGTCACTGTGACCTTGACAAAGGCAGGTTTCATTGTGTGGCAGAAATGGGAGTGGGCTCAAGGGGAACCCTGGAAGAATGGAGTGCTCACTGGAGGACTAGGGAAATTGGGTAGGAGGACAGGGACAGCTGTCACAAGCAGATCTGGCCACATGCCCTACTCTACCACTCCCCATCATTTAACTGCCCTTAGCCTTGGTTCCTTCATCTGCAAAACGCTTCTCAGGGTTGCACCATCACCTTGGTTTTATCTGTCTCTGCCTGGGGCCACAGCCATACCCCTTTGGCAGGAGCCTGTCCCTTGTGGCATATTGGGGCAGCTACTATGCCAGGGAACTTCTGAATCCTGCTCCAAGCACCTTGGCACAGCTGCCAACAGCCGAGACCTCCAGAGCTGGTGTGATAGATGCTGGGCCACCAAACGGAGGTGCTTGTGTGCTATGAGGCTGGAAGACGTGTTGAGCTACAATTATTTCCTGAGGACCTGCTATGTGAGGGCCTTGCTGCAGAAACTGTGAAGTGTTATGTGACCTTGAGGACAGAAGGACTTTGGGAGGACTTAGTGCAAAGGAGTGATGTACCTGGACTCCCCACGGGAGCCAGGATAGGGAGGTGGCTGCCGTTGGCCTGGCCTGGGTACAGTGGGAAGGGGGAGGGAAGGGGAGAGCCTTTGGTGCAGCTGATGGACTGTGGATGAAAGGGTGTGGGTGCGGAGGTAGGAAGAGCAAGCCTGGCCTCCAGGATCTTATCAGGAATGAGGACACCCATGTGGGGCAGAGGAAGCAGGACTGTAAGATGGAGCTTGAGGACAATTCTGAGGCCAGAGTAGGACTTGAGATATTTGCGACGTATGTCATGGGGTATGTGAGCGCAGCTCTGGCGCCTGGTTAATAAGGACAGGTCCAGGCTGGAGCAATGGCCTTGGAATCCCACTTTGGAGCCTTGGGCCTAATGCTGGCCCACTTGTGTTCCTAGGTTAGCACCTCAGTTCTCATCCCTGGGGGCCTAAGAATACCTTCTGTCTCTGTGAGGATAAGAAGTGGTGTTTGAAGCAGACAGTGATGAAAAACCAGTGTCCTTGTTTATTACTAGGCAAACTCCTGGGGCTTGGGAGCAGCGGCAGACAGAGGCATGGACGTATGCTACATGGGCTTGGGTGGTTTGGGGTATGTGTATGGATTCCGGCAATGTTGGCAAATGGTACTCAAAGGCAAGCAAGAGGTGTATTGCGTACATACATGTACTATACACATGTGTGTACAGGTACAGTGCACTATTTGTATACACACATGCATATTTATGTATGTGTATATAGTGGCTGTACCCGTATATTTATACATTTGTGGAGTGTGTCTTGCATATATGTGTTCATGTACTCACGTGTGAACATGTATGACACATGGAATATACTGATTATTGTGTTTGCAATTTTTTGCATGTGTGTGTACTCTCATGTATGTATGTATGTATGTATGTATGTATGTATGTATGTGTCAGCATTGTGTGAGCCCACATATGTCCTTGTTTATTGCTAGGCAGACTCCTATGTATGAATGAGTGCATATATACATGTAGCCCGATGTATTCATGCTTGAATGCATGCAAAAATTGCATGTGTACATGCGTGAATACACAGGTGTTCATGCAACACATTGTGACTGTGTATACATATACCATGCACTGAGCATGTATGTTCTTCATATGTGTGTGGTGAGTGTGCGCATAGGCTGCTGGTCTGTGGAAGATAGTTTGGAGAGCACAGAGGCCAGGCCCCAGCATACGAGGTAGGGAGCATTCCTTGGGTAGGGTAGACCATGGCCACCCAGATCAGATAGCTGTGCCCTGTGTCCAGAAGGCTCTGTCACTTCCTGGCTGTAGGAGGGGAGGAGTCCAGCAGTGACAGCTGTGGCTGGTCACTGAGTGCTGACTGTTGTTAAAGTGTCACATGTGGATGAGTTCCCCTCCACATTGCCATGAGTCAGGCCCCAGCAGAGGTTGTCCATGCTTTGCTCACACCTTCATGGGGCTGCGTGTCCCCTGGACACCCTCCCTAGGCCCTTCTAAACAAGGCTCTTCCCTGGAGCTTATGTGTGTGGTGACCAGTGAGGCACTTTTATCCCTTTCTGCCTTCCCTGACAAGTGTCATTTTCAAACACGCCATATACTTGTCAGTCTGTCTGTCTGTGTTAAGATGTGAGCACGGCAGGTGATGGGCACATACCCCATCACTGATGCTTCCCTAATGTGGAGGACAGATCCAGCCCCAAAGGAGGCACCCAGCACATGCTTGTGAAATCAGGCCCAGAGATATCAAGGTAGATCAGGTCACATAGTATGTAAGGGATGTATTAACAGCAGACTAGTGGGTGGCATCATGTGTACTGAGCTCTGTTTTGGGTGATGGCAGTGGCCAAGGTCTCAAGTTGGACAACCTTCAGCAGAGGAAGCTGTGCCAGATGTGCAATGGGTGCCCTGCTCTTATCTACCCCTGAGCACAGGGCCTTGACCCTCACTGTCTTCAGGGAGCAGGCAAGCATGAGCACCCATCTCCTCAGAAAGCAAGCAATGTATAGCTGAGCTGAGGAGCCAGCAGGCAGCCCACTGAGTGTGTGGCCCATTTTCAGCCCTGCCCCCCACCCAGCCAGGCCTATCCAAATGCCACATGGCCATGTCACGCGTTGGATTCCATAAGCGCTCCTCAGGCTAGGGCAACTGTCCCTGCTGCCTAGTCCCTCTAAGGCTGCCAGGCTCTGGCACCCACTGTTATCTTGCACAGTCTTCAGCTCTCTGTTTCTGTTTTCTCCTCCATCTCTCTCCCATCTTTGCCTCTGGTGAGATGGACCATTTCTTTTAAGGGTTGCTTTAAATATTCATGTTTTAATTAAAGAATAATATTACAGAAGTGACATGTAAGATAATGAAAAAAGCAGCATTCTGGGTGCAGGGGCCTGTGAGCTCCTGTGAGTCTGTGTCCCTGTGAGTGTGTCTCTTTGTGTCCCTGTGTGCCATCATGTGTGGTCCTCATATCCTGTGAACCCCTGTGAGTGTGGCTCATGAACCCTTGCATGCCCCTTGTGAGTGTGTCCCTGTGACTGTGTCCTGTGTGTGAGCCCCTGTGGGTGTGTCTCTGTGAATCTCTGTGAGTGTGCTCTTCTGTTACCTTGAGTCCTGAAGGTATGTCCCTGTGAGTGTGTCCTATGAGCCCTTGTAAGGGTGTCCCTATGAGTGTGTCCCTATGAATGTAAGTCCCTGTGAGTATGTCTCTGTGTGTCCCCATGAGCCTCTGTGAGGGTGTTCTCGTGAGTCCCTGTGAATATGTCCTGTGAGTGTTTCCTGTGTGTCCCCGTGTGTCTTCATGAGTCTTTGTATGTCCCTGTGTGTATGTATTCATATGTTCCCATGTGTTTCTGTGAGTGTGTCCCTGTGTTTCCCTGTGGGTATCCTTGAGTGTATGTCTATAAGTGAGTCCCTGTGGGTGTATCTCTGCATCTCTGTGTGTGGTGTGTATGCTATGTGCATTCCAGCATACATATGCATCCCTGTATAAATATAGTGTTAAACGTGTCTTTGTGCACATGCCTCGGGTAGAATGCTGAATTGAATCTGTATGTCAGGATGTGTACACATGCTACACTTGTCTGGGGGTCCTGGAGTGCTTGAGGGCCCATGACTTGCCCACAGACTAAAGTTGGTCCCCTCATTGTGTGTGCAGTCCTGGTCCTGCTTGGCCAGTGATCCCCTGCCCTCTGTGAGGCTCAGTCCCCTCAAGACACCCAAGAGGAGGGGAGGCAGCACTAGAAGTAGAGGGTTGGCTTGGGGAGAGCCCCTAGGAATGGTTTGGGCTGCAGTGGAGTTGTGGGGGTGATAGAGAAGCACCAGGATCTATCATGGAGATGCCACCACTGTGCAAAGTGTGTGTGTGTGTGTGTGTGTGTGTGTGTGTTTATGTATACATTTTAGAAAAATCTAGAAAACTGGCTTTAGTGAACACCACAGACAATAGTTATAAAAGTAAAGAACAAGACAAGGCTCTATGGAAATGCTGGGTGTGGGCACCATTATCCACAGGGAAATTCCCATGTGCCTTAGCTCCCACTGTGTCAGCTGTCTCAGCTCAGGGCTAGAACTGCAAGAAGTCCTTGTGGCCTGAACTTGGGTCATGTTTCCCAAGAAGATGGGAGGGTCATCAGCCTCTGTGACCCACTCTGATAACTGAGGACAGAGGCTTCTTGACTAAGGTCTCTAGCGTAGACTAAACATTTTGGGTCTTTATATAAGATACCTTCTCAGGATAGGGAATACCCAGCAGCAAGAATTTCCTACAGATGTGGCTTGCTTGTTTTTCAAGTGCCCTGGTTCCTCCCACACACCTTACCTCCTAAGAGCTGGGGTTGGGACGGTACTCATTTGTAGAGTCTGCCTGGAGCCTAAAGGAGGCTGTGAAGCTATGGGATCAGGAAGGCCAGTGCTCTTCAGTGGATAATGAACTTGGCCACTCAGTCTGCCCTGGGATCTGACTGCCCTTCTGTGGCCCTGATGGTTTCTGACAGCCTGCAGATGGTGGCTGAGTCAGGACCTGCTGGGTAAAGGGCTGTGGAGGAGTTGTGTGGACAGGTTCCTCAGCATCCCTTGCTTTGCTCTTAGTGTCTCCCTTGTTCCTCCTCCAGGAGTTCTAGACCCAGCTGTTAGTACCAGTGCCTAAGCTCTTCATGATAATCTTGCTCCAGCTGGGTCCCTGGAGAGGCAGGGGTCTTGCTAGCCTTCTGGGCAGGGACTGTCCCTGAACCTACCAGGAGAGTCTGGAGAGCTGAGTGGCAATGTAGATGAGCCAATCTGCTGCTTAACCTGCTGGAGTAGGGATCCCTCTGCTGGGAGAAGACGGAAGTGCGTGGTTCCCTTCCTCCAAAGGGGATCCCGGGAACTCGGGAGAGACCGGCTGGGGGAGGGGGATCACCTTCCTTCCCACATTTCAGTCCACTGGGGGTGCGGGATCAGGGGAACCCACCGCCCTCAAACCAGGGCATTAGGGTCGGAAGGGAACCAGAGCCCCCTCACTGCACACCCACCCTCCTGGGTGGCCGGCCTGCCTGGCCAATAATTGGCTCTATTCATGCCTGTAATGAGATGGAAATGAGGCCGCCAGACAGAGGGAGCATTGAGCAGGGAAGAATGACAGCTTCTTTCTGAGCCTGGAGGGGCAGCCCACCCCTGAGCCCTGCTTGCTCCTTCACTGCCCCCTTGTGCCCACCCAGCCCTGCCACACCTTGTGTCCCCTGGTGCCCTTCACTTCAGCCCCAGGACTTCTTCCTTCATGATGCTCCCTCTGGCGTGGATGCTTTTCAGTCTGGGCAAACATTTATCGTGTCAGCTGTGTGTGGGGACACACATTAAAAATGAAAATGATAATAAAAACAGCAGTTACCATTTTCTGAACATTCATTAGTGGAAGGAGTGTGGCCAGCATTGGGGAATCAGTCTGTGGCTAAGATCAGGGCCCTGTTTGTGATGGAGGATCAGAGATCCTATGCCTAGGACCCTAGGTCTATGATAAGAACCAGGGATAAATGTTACCAAGGCCAGATGTTGGTCTGTGACCAGGGTGAGGAATCTGTTTGTCTAGGATCAGGGATTAGTATGCAACCAGAGTCAGAACTCAATGTATAAATAGGGGTAGGAATCTACATGTGGGCTGGATCGGGGTTCAAGTGAGACCAGAGTCAGGCCTAGGCCAGAGGAGGGCATCCATCCTCTGAGGGTACCGTTACCCTCGCTCCCAGTTTCTGATGTGCCCCACCTCTTCCCTCCCCCCACTCCCACATCTTCACCACCTGGGTCACCAAGGTAACCAGCTCCGAAATAGTGGGTGTTTTGGCAGCTGAGGCCTAACCTGGGTCTATCCTGAAAGGCTGTGTGCTGCAGCAGTTGCCATGGGAACTGAGTGGCATCCTCCGATTAGCCCAGCTTGGACACCCTCTCTCCCACCCACTGCCAGTTTTCACATCACTCAGGCTTCCTTGTGGGGGCTGGGCTTGGGCAGTGAGGGGGCACAGGAAGGATCCAGAACCCTGACCCCACTCTGGGCCTGCCTCTAAGACTCCTGGCTCCTTTGTCTGGAATCACGAGACAGGAATGGCTGAAGCAGGTGAGACTCTGAGGCCAGAAAGATAGACCACGGTTGGGGTTGGTCCTGGCAGGTGGCTTTCCTGGGGCCAGTGGGTGGGACAGAGATCTGGAATCAGATTTGGTTCAAGACCGGAGTCTGACCTGGTCGAGAGCTGCTCCTGCTTGTCTGGAGTTAAAGCTGCTCCTGCTTGTCCACCTGGGCCCGTTCTGTGGACAGCTGCTACCCTGTCCTACCTATTATGCATGTGAGGCTGAGACTGTGCTGGAGACTCTCTGCCCTCTGCTCTCAACTTTGTCCTCGTGGGGGTGTCACCACTTGCCCTTTCTTGTACCCTTGTGGTACCCTTGGCCCCACCCTTGGGGCTCTCCTGGTGAAAGGGAAGATGGTATTGGGACAGAAAACTCCATGCTTATAACTATCACTCAGATCTTGAAATCTTGACTCCCTGGTCAAGACTTCGACACCTCGGCAGAGGCAGGGTTTTTGGGGCCTCTACAACAGGCATAGGGTCATGGAGGATGGCTCTTCCCATCCTACCCATCTCAAAAAGGTGAGTGCTCACTAGAGGGCCACTCATTCCCTGGAAACCCAGCGCCCCCTGCTGGTTCAGACAAGCACAGGCAAGAGAAGATGGGCAGGCTCTGGCTGTGGTCCTTTCCAGACCCTAGAAGTTGGTTCTCCTTGAGATGATAAGGCCAAGGAGATGGTCCTTGGGGCCATCAGATGGGACTGCTCACACTCTGGGATCCACCACCCCTGAGTTCTCACCTGGGAGATGGGACCTCTTCTACTACCACTCAGGCCAGCTGTAGCCCTGAGTGGTCTGGACTTATTTACCCTGGCTTTGCTTAGTAGATGGGCAGATCTGTCGTCTAAGGAAGGTTTCTGGGCTACCAGTTATGGGAGTGACTAGTCCCTACCCCAGGCTCTGGAATGGGAATGTGGAGACCTTGGCAGTGACCTCACATGGATGAGAATGTGAGGAAATAGTCTCAGAGGTTTGAGGGCCGTGGGGAGGCCGGATCTATGTATTTCTGAACACATGGTGGCCCACACTGGTCACCAGGCCTCAGACTATGAAGCAACATGGGGTGAGCAGGAGTTGACTGTTTACTCAGCAAGGCAGCCTGGGACAGCAGTGTGTACTTGTCCCAGACCTACCTAGGGCCCCCTGGCTTAGGGCTGACACGAGCTCTCTAGAAGGAGCCAGGGTCTAGGGTCAAATTTCTCAATGGCCTTGCCCTGCCTCGCTATCTTCCCCAGCCAGATCTGGCATCTGCTTACCCTTTCAAAGCCCACAGATACCCCTTCTGGCCTCCACTGGACCCCAAAGATGTCAGGACCCTGAGCCTCACTCTTGTTCCCCCAGGTGGCTGGAAACTGTGGTCCTTGTGGGGTGAATGTACGCGGGACTGCGGGGGAGGTCTGCAAACTCGAACCCGCACCTGCTTACCCACCCCTGGCGTGGAGGGCGGAGGATGTGAGGGCGTTCTGGAAGAAGGACGCCTGTGCAACCGCAAGGCCTGTGGCCGTGAGTGGGTGGGGCTAAAATGGTGGGCGGGGCCAAGTAGAGAAGGCGTCAGGGTCCGGAAGGGGCAGGGTAGGGATGCACTTGGCTAGGGCTTCAATGAGATTAGAAGGCAGGCGGTGCTTTGAAGAGCTGAACGTGGTTGGGGACAGAGGTGCTTAGAGGTGGAGACTAGAAAGCCCGGTCTGGTACAGTACAGACCCAGGAAGAAGCAGGGTACCTGGATTTAGGTGGAACCAAAGAGGGTGCTTAGAGGTGGAGACTAGAAAGCCCGGTCTGGTACAGACCCAGGAAGAAGCAGGGTACCTGGATTTAGGTGGAACCAAAGAAGGCTTCCTATCAGGTGTGGGTTGGGATTCTTGAAGCTGCCTCTCAAGCAAGCTGCAGCCAAGCCAGTCAGCTCCAGCAGAATAAGCCTCCGGGATGTATTTCTCTAATAAGGTTTTCTAATGACCTCATGCATTTTTTAGCTGCTTCCATAAAGTTAAATCAAGTTCTAATGAGGCTGTCATTCTTCAGGTTTGGTTTTGTTTTGTTGGATGCACTTTCCTGAGGAGACAGCTCTTCTCAGGAGCCTGGGGAGGCCCCTGCATATCTCAAAGGGAGGAAGGGATGAGATGTTGAGGTGAAGGAGGCAGCAGACACTCTAAGGTGTTGTCCTGCAGTCCAGGAGGCTGAGAGAGAGGAGGGGGACCCTCATAGAGGGGACCATAGTGACCAGAAGAGGGTTGGTGCCACGGAAAGTGCTCTGGGTGGGCTCTCCCACTTGTTCATTGGGGTTAGACTGCTCTAGTGACAGGAGGTGGCTAGCTGCAGCCAAGGACAGAGGGAATCACACAGAGATGCTGATCTGAGCCCATTCTGCAGCCACTGGACGCACCAGCTCACGGAGCCAGTCCCTGCGGTCCACGGATGCCCGGCGGCGTGAGGAGCTGGGGGATGAACTGCAGCAGTTTGGGTTCCCATCACCCCAGACTGGTGAGCTGGCAGGATGGGTAGGGTTACACACAGCCCTAGGCAGGGAGGGGAGAGGGCTGGCTTCTGGGACCAGGTTAGTAATGGCTACTAGTTGCCAATAGTGATTCTAATAACTTAACTGCTATAACTCTTCTCATCTAGTCGGTGCCAGACTCCTTCTCCAGGCAGACTGGCTTAGGGGAAAATAGAAGCCTGTCCCAGCCAGACCTAGATCTTGCTTCCAGCCATTGGGAAAGTAGGCTATCTTAAGACCTACAGAGCCCCAGTCCACAGACTGTTGCCCCACTGCAAGGTCCTGCTTCCCCAGTGGGCCTCCAAATCTGGCACCACCCTATGGGAAGGGGCATGGCAGGCCCATGATGCTGCAGGGCTGGATCCACAGGTGACCCAGCAGCCGAGGAGTGGTCCCCATGGAGCGTGTGCTCCAGCACCTGTGGCGAGGGCTGGCAGACCCGCACCCGCTTCTGCGTGTCATCCTCATACAGTACTCAGTGCAGTGGTCCTCTGAGGGAGCAGCGGCTCTGTAACAACTCTGCTGTGTGTCCAGGTGGGTGGAGCAGAGCACAGGGAAGGGCTTGGGTGGTGGGGTGGGGCCTCTGGGCTGGGCACATCCATGACTTCCTGTCTCTCCACAGTGCATGGGGCCTGGGATGAGTGGTCACCCTGGAGCCTCTGCTCCAGTACCTGTGGCCGTGGCTTCCGTGACCGCACACGCACCTGCAGGCCCCCACAGTTTGGAGGCAACCCATGTGAGGGTCCTGAGAAGCAAACAAAGTTCTGCAACATTGCCTTGTGCCCTGGTAGGTGAGAGGGAATGAGTGGCTGGGAGTGGGGGATGGGACCAGCAGGTCAGTGGCCTGGGACCCAGCTTGATCCACGTCAGGTTCACCTCAGGGTGCTCAGTGGTTAAAACCTCAGACCACGGTAGGTTGAGGTGTAACCCTGTAGCATTCCTTCCCCAGTCCCAGGTGGCCTGTTGCATGGTGCCCCTGGGGTGTTCTTGTGTCCCAGGCCAGGCTTTGGGGTGCTGGGTATTCACACCAGCTTCCTGTTCCCTTCTTCCCCCGGGCCGGGCAGTGGATGGAAACTGGAATGAATGGTCCAGCTGGAGCACCTGCTCTGCCAGTTGCTCCCAAGGCCGCCAGCAAAGGACTCGAGAGTGCAATGGTCCTTCCTATGGAGGCGCTGAGTGCCAGGGCCACTGGGTGGAAACTCGAGACTGCTTCCTGCAGCAGTGCCCAGGTCAGGATGCCCTCTCGGGGCTCAGGGAAAGGGAGGGGCCATGGGGGAGGTATGACTGTAGGGGTTGGTACAGGGTGGAAGTGGTGGCATTTGAATGCAGGTCAGGGTGGTGGAGGTGAGGTAGGGTAGTGTGGCAGGGTCAGGGTGCAGGTTAATTTGTCGGAGTTAAAGTAGAAGATGGAAATGGTAGGGTTGAGTGCAGTTTAGAGTGGATGGGTTAGCGAAGGGTTAATCAGGTTTAGGATGGAGTATTGGAGTCAAGATCAGGCGGTAGGTTCAGCTGTACATGACATCCGGCTTCTTTTTGAGTCAAGCTGATTTCAGACCTCTCTTCCACTAATCTCAATTTTCTGTTTCCTCATGGCCCTGCCCCAATACTCCTGGGTCTTTTGTCTTTGTCTCATCTGAATATTGTTTCTTTATGTCCCCCTGGCCCCTGGCCCCACTTCCCCCTACTGACCCGGTCCACCGCCACCTTCTGACATCTGTGCCCTATGTTTGGCCACCCTTGCAGTGGATGGCAAGTGGCAGGCCTGGGCATCCCTGGGCAGCTGCAGTGTCACATGTGGGGGTGGCAGCCAGCGACGGGAGCGTGTCTGCTCTGGGCCTTTCTTCGGGGGAGCAGCCTGCCAAGGCCCCCAGGATGAGTACCGACAGTGTGGTGCCCAACGATGTCCTGGTGAGACCCTTCCCACTGCATCGTAGCTCAGAGGGACTGGGAACAATTGAGTATCACAGCCACTCATCCCAAACCCTGTCCACCTCACTCTCTGGTCCCTCACAGAGCCCCATGAAATTTGTGATGAGGACAACTTTGGAGCCACGGTCTGGAAGGAGACCCCAGCTGGAGAGGTGGCTGCTGTCCGGTGTCCCCGCAATGCCACAGGTAAAAAGTGGGGGGCTGAGAGTCCTGCTCTGTCTTTATACAGCTGTCCTCACAGGACTTATCTGAGACTAAAGCTCATGCAGCTCTTGTGTGTGCTCATGCCAGATGGCACCAGATAGGACATCATGGCAGCCATTGTGTCCTGATTTCACAAGGGTCAGGGCACATGCCATGCCCTCTGCTTGAGAGGTCCCTTGAGCGTAGACAGCTCTCTGAACCTGATGCCATTGCTTCCCTACAGGTGGGACACAGGCATAGGGCAATCAACATACCTACCCTGGGCTTGCAGTCTACAGGAAGGAAGTAGTCTCAGAACACCAGTAGTTTTAATTCCATGTCATCCCTGGGAACTGATGGGATATAGAGGGTATAGAAAGCAGGGTGGACTCCATAGGGCAGGCACTCCCCCACCCCCACCCACAGATATTCTCTATTTCACTTTGTTTGAAAGAGTGTGAGTATTTTCTGTACCTGGGAGGCCACAGAGAGGGAGATTGGGAACCCAATTCAAACCCTGACTCTGCCCTTATTTGCTGTATCACTTTTGGGAAGTGACTTAGTTTCTCTGAGCTTCAGTTTTCTCTTCTATAAAATGAAGACTTTAGGTGATCCTTTGTATTGGACTGCTGTGAGCAGTGGGTGAGGTGGCCCATAGGGGCGGGGAGGTGGTAAGTGCTGAATATTGTGAGCCACGCTCGCTGTCCCTATCCTTGTTTACACTGTCTTGCTGGTATATTGCAAGCAGAAAAAGACAACACCCATCCTTCCCTGGCCTTTGTCTACCTTCATAGTCATACTGTGCTTCCCTCATTTTGCTCCCATCTGAGCTCATAGCCCAAACTTCTGCATCAGGGCCACCCTATGGTTCTTGTTTAGTGACAGGGCTGGAACCATTTTATGTGGCTGTCACCATGTATTTATTTACTCTGTTGTCCCTGCTCCAAAATCTTTCTGGGGGTCTTTCTATCTGAGAATTAGCTTGTTTTTCAGGCTGTTGACTTTTGATACCAAATGGTCCTGGGAGGCTGCACCAGTGTCCAGGGGTCAGCAAGTCCCCTGAAGCCCTGTGAATGTGCCAGGGTCTGGCAAGGGGTTAGAGGACAGCTGTCCCTAAGTCTCTAGATTGCAAGGATCTCTAAGAGAGGCTCTGGCTGACCCCAGAAGCCATGCTTAGCTGTAGATCCCACTTCCACAGAGCAAAGTTCCTGAAGATCCTCAGGTCCCCAGGACCTAGAGTAGGGTTGAAGTATGTGCCATATAGAAACAAAGCCAGCATAGCCTGCTTCGAGGTCCATAGGGTCCCAAACAAAGAACTCCTGCCTGAGAGTTGTGGAGGGGACCCCAGAGCTCCTAGGTGAGCAGGCATGTGAGGAATGGAGTTTCCTCAGGCCTCATCCTGCGCCGCTGTGAGCTGGACGAGGAAGGCATCGCCTACTGGGAGCCCCCCACTTACATCCGCTGTGTCTCCATCGACTACCGGAACATCCAAATGATGGTGAGGTTGACCTCAGGGGTTCCAGGAAACTTCCCCACTCTTTGAACATGAGGTTGGGGCTATCGGGACCTCCAGGCATCTGAAGTCCCTGGCCCCCACCTGGCTGTGACCTATAGCAATGACAGCATCCAGCCCTCTCCATCTTCCCAGACCCGAGAGCACCTGGCCAAGGCTCAGCGTGGGCTGCCAGGGGAGGGGGTCTCGGAGGTCATCCAGACACTGCTGGAGATCTCACAGGATGGCACCAGCTACAGCGGCGACCTGCTCTCCACCATCGATGTCCTAAGGAACATGACAGAGATCTTCCGCAGGGCCTACTACAGCCCTACACCTGGGGATGTACAGGTGGCTCCCAGGGGCAGCCCCAGGGGAGGACATTTGGGGAAATGTCAGAGGAACCAACCCAGATCCCATTCAGAGACTAAGTCCCAATGTTGAGTGTAGGTGGGGCTATGACCTCACCATAAACATGGCTACATGCTTAATCCTGACCTGGTCATAGAATGATCCCTGATCCAGGTCTAAATCCTGATCCTGGTCACTATGAACTGTGACCCTGATGACAGGCTGAACTTTGACCCAGGTCATACTAGTCATGGATTAAGTCATCATCCTGGATCTTGCTCACACATTGAGCCCTATCCCTGCTCACACACTGAATCCTGGCCTTGATCACGTATAAACCCTGACCCTGATCACACACTGAGTCTTCATCTGATTCTGGCTATACTCTGTGCTCTGATCCTGGCCCTAAATAACCTGAATCCTGGTCACCAACTGAGTCCTGATCTTGGTCATCCATTGAGCCCTTGTCCTAGTCTAAACGGATCCCTTATCCTAGACATAGGCTGAACCTATGATTTTCCTCACACACTGATACCTTGTTCCCTTTCACTGGCACTTCTTATTTCCAGAACTTTGTCCAGATCATCAGCAACCTGTTGGCGGAGGAGAACCGGGACAAGTGGGAGGAGGCACAGCTGGTATGTGTGGAGGTCTGGAGCCCCTGCCCTGCTCTGTGTTAGCTACTGGATCAGGATTGGAGCAGGCAGTCTAGGCCTCCTACACCCCAGACCAGCCATGGTGGAGCCTTGCTGGGTCTTCAGTATGAGTCTCAACACTGTATGACCTTGAAAAAGCCCCTAAACCCCTTAGGCTTTGTGCAGTGCCTTTTCCCAGGGGCTAAATGAGGAGAGAAGCGAACAATGTTAAGATCACTGGGTATGTCCAGAGAAGGGGGTATTGTGGGTCTTTCCCATCTGCTCTGTTCCTTCCACTGACCTCAAACCTGCTATCACACTAACCCCAGGGGAGTAGCCCTCATCGTGAATATTTGGACGGCTTAGGAACCCCTATGCTGTGCACAGCAACTTCCCTGTGCCTCTGATCTTGTCCATAAAAAAAAATGGACACTCAGAGGTCAGCAGCCTGCTACCCTGCTTTGCAATAGAGCCTAGAAAAAGATATCAGAGGAAGGAAGGAGGCAGGAGGACAAGGGCATAGGCACCTCCCTCAGCTTGAGCTCTTCCACCTTCCCCTACCCCAGATGGGGCCCAATGCCAAGGAGCTCTTTCGGCTGGTGGAGGACTTTGTGGATGTCATCGGCTTCCGCATGAAGGATTTGAGGGATGCTTACCAGGTGACCGACAATCTGGGTAAGCCCCTCCATGGCCTGGTCCTGTGCTTCTCATCTGAAAGGAACCAGTGACCCCAGCCTTCTGCAGCCATTACAGATTAGCCTGGGACTTAGGTCGAGTGCAGAGGGTTGATATCAGGAGCCCTTTGGGACCTGAGATCCAGGCAGGGATCTGGAGATCTTGTGCCCAGGACCCATGCAGGAGCCTGGCCACGCCTGGGGTTGAGGCTCACTTCATCCTGCCACACCAAAGACACCTGTGCAGCTACTGTTTCATGGATCCCTAATTCTACAAAGCCTAGGTGCAGTGGGGCAGGGGGCTGACATTTGCCTGTTTTCCTCCTACCTGTATTGTAAGAGTGGAGCTGTAGACTGGTCAGTGAACCTGAGGGTAACCGGTGGCTGTCCTCACAAATATACACCAGTGCTTGAGATGACCCTCTATCTAGGTTCCAGCTCTACATTCCCCTGAGGATGTGACTCCAGCCACTCTGAGCCTTCCCTGGCACCTGGCTTTACTCTTTCACCACCTCCATTCCCATTTCATTCACTAGTGTCCACTCTTCCATCATGAGGCCGCTGTGTTCTGGCCGTGGAGTCCCCACTCCATCCTAGACAGACACCTGTCTCTGTTTTAATTCCCTCCCCTACCTCCACCAGGTCAGACTGGCCCCTCATACTTCAGGGTAACTTTGCCTTTCTTCCTCACTGGGCCTCTTACCTACCTGACCCTCCAGCCTAGATCCAGGGCTCCATTGGCCTTTAGTGCCATGCCTTTCCCCAAGCCTGTGTGACCTCATCTTTTCAAGGCCTGAAAGCCAATTGGGCCAAAAGCCCCCAGTGTCCATCAGAGCCCGCCACCCCCCGTCTCTAAAAGCCCAGGTCTGGGCCCCTGATTCTGTTTCCCCTCACAGGACCTAGGAGTCACGTGCTTCTGCCTCTGTACCTCCCCACCTTCCACCCACAGAACCATCTTTCAGAGGGCTGCTGTCACACTCTGGTGTGACACTCACCCCTTGCTCTCTGCCAGCCATTCATATGCTCTTTTCCTCCCTTCCCTGTCCTCTCCCTGGGATGTGTCCCTCTTTTTCCTGGTCTCTGCAGGGGGCTTCCTGGCTACTCTGTATGGGGATATCACCCTCCTTTGTTGCTACTACTGACAGGCCATGTCCCCATTCCATGTGTACACCAGAGGGTTCTGCTGCCCACATATCCTCCTCAGCATCTGTAATGGCCCTGAGTTGGGACACAGAACATGTGACAAATGAAGTGGTGTGCTCATTCCCTGGGAAGCTCTCAGCACCAGGGCTATCTGGGTACTGACATTCAGAGGGAGGCTTGTCTCTGTCCCCATGACCTCTGGTAAGGCAGATACTTATTGAACACTGTAAGGCAGAACACCATGGGAGAACCCTTATGCTTCCAAGGCCTCATGGTCCCAGGAGGGCAGGTCTAGATGGGGAGGCTGCTGAGCCTGGCCAGCAGAGTAGGTGGGACAGAGTAAAGGTAGAAAACACAGGGACCATGCTGGGGAGCAAGGCCTAGAGCTCAGCATCTCCCTCTCTCCCACATCTTTACAAGTAGCCCCAGGCTGTGGCACTGGTTGGAGGGTGGAGGGTGTGCCACAGATAACCCGAGAGTGGGTTATCGGGTATGGATGGAACTAGAAAAGCTACCTCACTTATTAGGGCCCTCCCTTTGTCTCCCAGCTCTGTTCCCCTGGACTTTGGATCACTGGTCCAGTGTGCATGTGCTGGAGGAAGATGGGGTGGCAGGCAGAGAAGTCCTCTAGGGTGTCCCCTGAGATAGAGAAGGGATCATCCTGCTGAGGTTGATGCTATACTGGAGACTGGTCTTAAGTGAGCTGGGAGGGCTCTAAGGACTGGTCCACCGCCTGGCAGAGGCTTGCCAGGCTGGGTTACAGGAGAATAGCATCCTACCTGACTACACTACCTGGATTTCTCCCTTCACACCTGCTGCCCCTCCCTCGCCAAGACCTCCCACCCAAATATAGGAACCTTATACCTGAAGCTCAGTTATCCCCCTCACTTTGTAGAAGGAGAGGAAGCTGGAGAGTGTCAGAGCTGACCCATGACCCCAGTGAGGTAGGGGGATGGTGGGAACCAAGATGGGTGCCTAGCTCCTGTAGATCCTTCTGTGCCACAGGATCTACCTTTGACTTTTCCTGACCGTAGTGGCTGGGTCTGGCCTCAGTACTAACCAGGCTGGACAAGGGCCTGGTCAGGTCTGAGTCACCAAGAATGACTTCCTATAGGGATTCTGGCCTGCTGTCCCATACAGTCCCTATCAACCAGCCTTAGACTCTGGGAATTTTGCTCATCTGGGAGTGGGGGCCTGTGAAGGAACTAGTGTGTGTGGGTTTACAGGCTTGGTGCTCACACCTAACAGCAGCCTAGCCATGTGAACCCTGCCCACCCCTAGCCTCGGGAAACATGTGCCATCTTGCACCAAGGCCTGCAGCCTGGGTTCCAGCTGACATTCCAGGTGGGTAATGCTCTGTTTGTGTTGCCCCTCCCCTGCTTTAGTGCTCAGCATCCACAAACTTCCGGCCAGTGGGGCCACTGACATCAGCTTCCCTATGAAGGGCTGGCGTGCCACAGGAGACTGGGCCAAGGTGCCAGAGGACAGGGTCACCGTGTCCAAAAGTGTGTTTTCCACAGGGCTGGCAGGTGAGGCTTAGAGTGGGATGGGCCTGCTGAGAACCCGGGTCTTAGAGTCTGAGGACTGTCATCCTGGGATATTTCTTGTAGGGTTTTCTGCATTGTCTCAGTGACAGGGAGCATCCCTGGTACACCTTGTTATTCCTGAACCCATCTCCTTGCAGGTGTCTCTTCCTTTCCTCCATGGGAGAGTGCCTGGGGACTACCCTAAGCCAGAAGGCTAAGCAGAGTGGAAGGGGCTGGGTGGCTCACACAGCAACAAGGACATGAGTTCCCAGGGAGAGAAATGTACCTTCCCCATATCTGTTGTGGGATCACTTGAAATGAACTAGTTCTTTCTCTCCATGTAGATCCAGACTGGTGCCCCAGATCCCACCTACACCTCAGCCTCTGTGGTGGGGTAGGCCTTCTCTTGTCAGAGCCTTGGATGTGACCCAGTAGAGGGGACAGTGGAGGCTACTGGGGTGAGGTCCAGGCTAGTGGGCAGTAGCAGAGTTGGGGTAACACATGCTCCCTTCCAGAGGCTGACGACTCATCTGTGTTCGTGGTTGGTACTGTGCTCTATCGAAACTTGGGTAGCTTCCTGGCCCTGCAAAGGTGGGTTCGTGGAAAGGGGATAGCCTGGACCCCTGTGGGAGGTGTGTAAGAAGCTGGGAGGCTGGGCATGGGACAAAGCACCATACTGGGGCTGGGGCTGAGCTACAAGGCTGGCTCAGTACCATTCCACACCTCTGACAGCCCTTTATGCTTTGATGTCCCCAGGAACACAACTGTCCTCAACTCTAAGGTCATCTCTGTGACTGTGAAGCCCCCGCCTCGGTCCCTGCTCACACCCTTGGAGATCGAGTTTGCCCACATGTACAATGTGAGTGCTGCCCACATGCATGGGTGCATGGGAACTTTCCTCGGTTCTGAGTATGCCCCTGTGTATTCTTCTCAGGCAGTATCCTTTAGGGTCACAATTGGAGTGACTCTCATCTAAATTTCAAGTGGGGAAACTGAGTCTTAGAGTTAGGGACTCACCCAGGGCCCCATGGCAGGTTCATGCTGACACTGAAATTCAGCCCATTTCTGAACTGTCCCCTGACTCTATCCCCAGGCTCTCTCCCTCTTCTCCAGACCCTGAACCCTGGAGGGGATCCACTTGCTATTCCCTGTGCCCATGGCCCAGAGTCCTGGAGAGCTGTTGACAGGCTATCCACCCCAAACCAGATCTCCAAACCCCTAGGAGTTGCTCCCTTCCTAGTCTACATTGCTAAGAACATGTGAGAGCCACCTTCCTCCAGAGTCAGGGCTGATCACCAGGCCATGTCATGCAGGACCTCTGGGATGACAATACCAATAGCATCCTTCTAAAACTCCCTAGGACTCCAGGCCACTTCTGCTGTGTGACCCTGGCAGGTCCCCAGCTCCAGGAATGCTTGGATATTTTGATGGACCCAAGGAAACTGGAGGGGGGCTGCTGTCAGTCCTTTCAGATGGCTTTTCAGAGACTAGAGCTGAAGCCCCTACAGCCCACTGTCTCTTCTTCTTGGTGGGTTGAGTAAGAACCCCAAAGGAGCAAGGCAACCACATCACTCAACCAGGACATGGCAGTGCCAGGCCCCAGTCCTCGGGCCAGGGGTGTAGGGAGCCTCAGGAAGAACCCAAACCTGTCCTTTTCTCTCCTGTGTAGCCTTGGGGGAGTTGCTTGTCTTCTCTATGCCTTGTCTTCCTTCCCTTATCAAGCAAAAACAAGCAATACTTATGAATGCTCAGGGCATGTAGCTACTGTTAGCATAACAAACCCCACTGTGGCTGCTCCCATCTCTCCAGTGCTGAGCCCAGAAACCCTCGAAAGATATGGTGCCCTGCAATGTTCTCATGGTCCTGTTTCCTGGACCAAGGATAGCAACAGTGCAGCTTCCCCTTAGAGGCAGCTACCCCCTTCCCCTTCCAGCATGACTGTCCTTTAGCCCAGCCCTGTCATGGGGAGAAAGGACGGGAACTGACTGAAGACATGTGTTGGGCATTAGTAGCAGGCCTAACTAACCTAGAGCCAGTCCTCTCTGCTTGAACTTCAATTTTTGCCTCACATGATGCAGTCTCTTGGGGGATGGCATCAGCAGCATACATAGTGGCCCCATGGGTGGATTCAGTGACCCAGGATGTGGCTAGAAGTGGTAGTGGCCCTGACTCCTCCCTCTCTCTTAGGGCACCACCAACCAGACTTGCATCCTGTGGGATGAGACAGATGGGTAAGTTCTTTGGGGCTTGGTGGTCCCAGGGCCCTGGGGTAGTGGGAGAAGCTTGCGGTGTGGTCCACTAAAACCAGTGGAGGGCTGGTTTTAGGTAGTGGAGCCACTGTTCCCTGGTCCCCTGTCCACTGGTACACCTGCACAGCCCTCCCTTTCTTCCTGCCCAAGTCTGGCTTCAGAGCCATTGGCCTTCCTTCCTTACTAGTCTATGGAAGTCCATGGCCCAGGAGAGGAGGGCCAGAGAGGTGTGTCCTTCTGCACAGCCCTCCCTTTCTTCCTGCCCAAGTCTGGCTTCGGAGCCATTGGCCTTCCTTCCTTACTGGTCTATGGAAGTCCATGGCCCAGGAGAGGAGGGCCAGAGAGGTGTGTCCTGGCTAGGTACTGAAGTGGGGTATTGAAGCCATCCTGTACTGATGTTGGGTTTGAGGTAGATATCAGCCTTAGGGGTGTATGCACTTGCTGTCTATGGATTTCTTCAGGTGTTGTGAGTGGTATGTCTTTTGCATATGAGATCAAAGAAGGATGTGAAATGAAAAGTCAGAACAGTTCTAAGATCTTGGTTCATTGCTTCACTCTGTGACTGCCATGGGCATGTTGGGGCTTTGCCCTTCAGAGCTGTAAGTGACCTCTCTTGGAGTGCTCCATGGTAGCTGCTTGTGGAGGTGGCCAACCTGTTCATTGTCTTAGTCCATACAGGCATCTTGCAGAGCCCTTCTGCTTCCTAGTAATGTAAAGACCAGCCTCCTGGAGAGGACAGCCCCATCCATGTTTCTGACTTCCCAGACAAGTCAAGGACACTGTCCCCTTGAGTTGGGAATCCTATCCTTGGAGCTGGCAGCTGCCTGGTATTGGGGAGGATCAGAGCTACTAAAGTACCTCAGATGTTACAAGTTAGTGTAGCCTCCGCCTGCCCTGTCCTCACAGCTGTGTGTGAGCAGTGACCTTGACCTCAATCACCCTAGGCATGCTCTACCACAACCCTAGAGACCTGGACTGTGGAAGGTCAGTCCCCAGGACAGAAAAATGATACCTATTCAGTTGAGTGACCCGTGCCTATGTGGAGACTTAATCTATCCTGGAATTAACTGCCCCCCCCCCCCCCCCAGTTTACAGGTTACAAGGCCTCCAGAGGCTATAGGTGGCCAAAAGCCCAGTGGTGGTTGAGGAGACTGCTCAAAACAGGTGGCTAGAACCCCTAAATTGAGACTAGAGGATGACTAGATGGTGGACAGGCTGGCTTTTGTAACCTCCCCATGCCCTGGTCACTCCTCTGCTCTCCGTTGGGTGACTCTTCATGCCACAACTAGTGGCCATTACTTTTGCTGTGACTTGTATTGTAAATGCTTTCCCACTGGCCTAAAGTAGATGGGTGACAGAGCACTGGCCCACTTCTACCGGTGCCTAACCGCCAAGTGTGTCTGACCTGCCTGGTGTGGCCTGTGCTTGCCTGTGCTTGGCTGAGAACAGGCCTAGGGAATCAAGGTGTGGCCTGGCCACTAGGGGGAGAGGAGCGCCTTCTGTGACTGTCATTTGATAAATGACATTGTAATTGTGACCCATAACCAAATCATCTTAATCTAGGGTAGAGCCCAGACCCCTAATCAGAAGTGGGCAGAGACCAGACACTGGTCATACTCTGAGTCCTGACCCTAACTGGGACATGGAGACCTAATTCTGGTCAAATGCTCCTCATGGTCACAGGTTAAGCTTGCTCGACCCTGGTCACACACTGAGCCCCAATCCTGCTCAGACACTAAATGCTGACTCTAATCTCAAACTGAGCCCTGACCCTGGTCACACACTTAGCCTTAATTCTGCACACAAACTGAGCCTTGATCTTGCTCATACATTGACCTTGACCTGGCTCTCACACTGGATGCTGACCTCACCACACACTGAATCCTTTCACTCACTGAGACCTCACCCTGGGCACACTGAGCCCTGATCCTTGTCATACACTGAGCTCTGACCAGGGTAACACACTGGATGCTGACCTCATCATACGCTGAACCCTGGTCTTGGTCCTAATCTGACCTTGTCTCTGATGGAACCATTGTGTTTGTTCACACTCATTCCACATATGCCACCTGCTTAGAGGATCACCTTCTCTTCCAGTCACATGTGACGGTTGATAGTGTGATTCCTTCATGTAGAGAACAAGCCAGAGGCTTCCCCTTGCAGTGTAGGCTCTTTTCCCACCTTTCCTCCAGGAACCCACATACCTGCGTGGACTTTGGTGCTGTCCATATTGGAGATGCCTGTCTAGGTTCCTTAAACATTTGTTCAGAGCCTCTGACGTGACCCTAGTCCTTCATGCAATGTCTGTCACCCATGTCCCTGGATCTGGGTCTTGAAATCTAAGTTGGAAACAGGGCTCAAGAGCTCTGCCTCTCTACAACCCTATGGAAGCATGACCAGTGACTGTGAGAGCCTGGGGTAAGAAGTGGGGAGGCAGAGGGCAACCCTTGCTACAATGTACTTCCCATGCTGTATCCCCACAGAGCCCTAGTTTTGTATGTCTCCACTGAGGGGGACAGTGACAGTCACATTTGTATTCCCAGAGTCTCCTGCCACCTGTTAGGATGGGGAATTATTTGTGAGTTGGGATATGCAGCAGGAAGCAGGGCTAGATGGGTGAGTAGTTCGTGGTAGGCAGCGCGTGTCTCCACTGAGGGGGACAGTGACAGTCACATTTGTATTCCCATAGTCTCCTGCCACCTGTTAGGATGGGGAATTATTTGTGAGTTGTGATGTGCAGCAGGAAGCAGGGCTAGATGGGTGAGTAGTTCGTGGTAGGCAGCGCTAGGCAAGGAGTGAACAGGTAAGTGGCTCAGGAGTGTGGTGTGGGCTGTGGGGGTACAGGGTGAGTAACTGAATGGAGGATGAGATCCAGAGGACAAGCAGGAGCCTGAGGAAGGGGCCAGTGCCATAGGAAGTGGGCAGAGAGAGAACAAGGGCTGGCTCCATCTGGCTACACTGGCAGGTGGGCAAGTTGCCACAATGATGGGAGGGTTCTCTGTTTCCCCAATGTAGGATGGCCAGAGATCCGACCTCAGGCATTGTCAGGATTGTCCCTCTCCACAAAGTGCTCCTTTCCAAACTGTAAGTCTCTTCCTGGGTGGACCGCCAAGTCCCACTATGTCCACCCATTTCTTTCAAAGAGTTCCCCGCCACACTGTCCTTTGTCAGCCAGTTAGGCCAAAGAGCCTAACTGAAGGCTCGAAGGTTCCCAGTGAGCCCAGGACTGCTCCCTGCCACACTGTCCTTTGTCAGCTAGGTTCACAGCCAAAGAGCCTAACTGAAGGCTCGAAGGTTCCCAGTGAGCCCAGGACTGACTACCTTCGAGGACCGTCTCTGGACACACTGCCAAAAGCGTATCTTTTAAAAATCTGCCCCTCTTCTTGTTTATTTGGTTAGTAGACTGGTGCCTTTTTTGAGACTGGGTTTCTCTGTGTAGACTTGGCTCAGAGGGAACCTGATGCTTAGCCTACAGTTGCTTCCCTTAAAACATGGCTGAGCAGTGGGTGGGAGGCATGAGTTGGGGCAGAACAGCGGGGCTTTCCCACCTTCCTTTGCCACTCCAGGGAGCCATTTGCTCTGCAGGTCCCCACCTTGCCCCTGGATTCTGAGCTATTTTTTGCATTGTCCCCATCCACTCCCAAGGCTGATCCATTAGGGCATGTGCTCTCATAATGCCCACTACAAGTGAGCCTTGGCCTGTACCTGTACAGAGGCCTTTGTCGGACCAATTGGTTACATGGGCACGCTTCCATCGTGTTGATCCTTGGTACCTGTACAGAGGCCCTTGTCGGACCAATTGGTTACATGGGCACGCTTCCATCGTGTTGATCCTTGGTTTCTACATCTGTGAAATGGGCTGTTGTCATTGTTGACTATGTGCTGAATTTAAGGATGGCATCCCAGAGGACAATAAGTAAGCCACATAGCCGCAGTACCACCTTACAGTACTTCGTGCTGGCTGGAGTGCACCTTGGCAGGAGGGTGTGGGAGCCCAAGGCCACAGTACAGGTGTGCAGAGACCCAGCAGAGTGCAAATGGAGTTGCAGTGAGTGGTCCAAGGAGAGGGAGATAGAGAGTAGGACAGAGAACACAAAGGCAGGTAAATGGCTGTCCAGACCTGGGGGTCCCTTCCTATAATCCCCATACCTCTTTTTAGATGTGGAGACTAGGCTCTCTGGCCTCAGAGATGATCTAGTAGAGGTAGAATTTGTGCGGGTCCTGTTCTCATAGTGCAGGGCACATGGAAAGGCAGACAGGAGGGAAGAACTCCAGTTAGCTGCGAGGCTTGAGTGTTGTGGGAACCTGCTCCTGGCCCTTGTCTGGAAGAGTGGGATGATGGAGTGACCAGGTCTGCTGGATCAGGTGAGCAGTGAGGTGCAGGAAGGAGGGCTTAGGGGCAAAGGCAATAGAGCAGGTAGGTTAGTTGGCTGCCTGCTCTTACTGCCCTAGCCTGTCTGGGAGCACCAATATTGAGGCTCCTAAGAAAGGGTCCACCAGTATGTCAAACTGAAGAAGACTTCCGAATTCTGGGGACAGTGTCCATTCTGGAGACAGGCTGATGTTGCTGGCAGGGGAGTAACATGGCCATGGCAAGCAGGCAGTCACTGGTCCCTATGAAGGATGACACATTGGACAAGATGGTGCTGCCATGCTATAGAGCTTCAGCTGGTGCAGATGTTCTCAGCACCAGTGATACACACTGATGACTGCATTGGTAGACTTGGTGATGGTGTTGATGCTGGTGTCTAGCACTGGCCTGGGGCTGTGGTGGTGAGGGAGGATGATTGTGTAATGTCTATAACAATGGGGGCTGAATAGTGCTGTTGGAGTCAATGCACTGAGTAGGAACAGTGGAGAATGGAGTAGTGGGAGCGGCGCTGATTGACAGGGTGGTAGTGTTTATGGCTCCGTGGTCTGTGATGCTGCTGCTGGAGAAACTGGGGCTGCTGCTGGTGGTGAGTGTTGCACCATCACTTGTGATAGTGTTGTGGACGGGGGTGATGGTGGTATGCAGGAGTGTGTTAACAATACAATGAGAGATAATGGTGGCGGCGGTGCTTCTGTTGGCGATGGTGGGGTGATGATGACGTGATGGTTGGTGCTGGTGGCAGAGACATGGCGGTAGTCATAGAAGTGGTGTTGGCAGGTGGGGCTGGCCATGGGGGTGATGGTTGCTACATGGCGGTGGCCACAGAGGGGGTGGCCACAGAGCAGCATGGCAGTGACCGTGGCAGCAGCATTAGTGATTCAGCAGTGGCTGTGGATGTGGGGGTATGATGTGGCAGCGGTTTTGAAGCTGTGATGGTGTTGGTGGTGAGGTGGTGAGCGTGGAGGCGGTATCAGAGATGTGGTGACCATGGAGGGTGTGTCAGCGGTGCAACGGATGTTGTGGAGGTGGTGGTGATGACGTCATGGTTGTGGTGGCCATGGTGGTGATGACGACATGGCAGAAGCTATGGGGGTGGTGGCGGTGACATGGCAGTGGTAATAGAGTGGTCGCTGTGGAGATGGTTTTGGTAACATGGAAGCAGTGGTGGACGCAGTGAGAGTATGCTGGAGCAGGGATGGTGGCTAGTGGCAAATACTGACTGCAGATGTTATTGGTCTTGGTTTGTTTAATGTCTTGCTGGTGGCTCTGAGGGTGACAGTGGTGGGCATAGGTATTGTGGGAGGAAGATGGCTGTGGAAAGATTTACAGGTTCCCTGTGTGTATCATCTCTCGTCCCCTATGGCACAGGTCATGAGTTAGGCCACAGTAACCATATGATAGGTATGATAGGGCAAGTAGGAGAGGAAGGGTTACACATAGAAGTCTGGGAAGATGTCTTGGAGATGAGGCTAAGACTGGCTAGGGTGGGTGTGAGGTATGCATCATCTTGAGCTAGGGAGAATACCAGGAGTGCCCGGTGCTCAGCAAGGGTCTTGCTCATCAGGCATCAAAATGCTAGAGCATGAGAGCTGTGGAGTCTGGGCAGTGTTCTCTTGACTGGTGGGGGAAAGGAGCTGACAGGCCAGGATGATGTGTCTGTAGGGCCATAGAAAGTCGCCTAGGAGAGGGTAGGTGTTTAGGGCAGGTTTCAAGTACCTTCCTGAGTCAGGCACAGTCAGCTGGACCCTGTTACCCACACCAGGTCATTTTTGCCAGGCTGTGGAGCCAGTGTCCATTATCCTCAGATTCACCACTCTGTCCCACAAACAGCCATGACCTATATGCTCTGCTTGGGTAACCAGAGAGGAGCCACTAGGCATAGAGGGGGGACAGTCTGAGACCAGAAGTCCCAGTGCAGAGTGTCTGGCGCCAGATGGGAGAGAAGAAGAGATTGGTGTCTGAGTGGTGGGAACAGGAGAAGTCTCAAAGGTCCTGCACAGACCCAAGGTGCAAAGAGGGGGCTCAGGTGGCACCAGACTGCAGGTGTTTGGAGGACTAGAGTCTTGGAAACAGTCCAGGAGAGGTGCTAGCCCAGCAGCATGGTGGAGTGGTCCAAAGGTCTGGACACAGTGATCTGGCCCTCACAGGAAGAGCAGACTGAGTGCTTGGGCATTTGAGTAGGCCTGGAGGCAGCAGCATCCGCCTTGATGTGGAGTGAGAAGTCGGTAGGTGAGGCAAGGAAGTGGGCACTCCTGATGGCAGAGGTGTGACTAAACAGGCTGGGTCCTGGGGTGGAAATGGACCTGGGAGTTTATTTCTGGGGTGCAGGTCGAGGCTGGCTCACAAAGGATCATCAAGGCACAGTTGAGAACCCCTCAACTGCAGAGGCTCTTGTCCCACCCCTACCCAGAACCTAAGATCCCCCACTGGGGTGCGCTGTGCCCACTCCTGGCTGTTTTATACCATGTGGGTGGATACCCTATGAGTCATTCATACTGGGGTGTGAATTAGCCCATCAGATCCAAGGGGACCCCGACAGGCACAGTCCTATAATAGCACCTGCTCGTGGGCTGGCGGGAGGCATCACGATGCAGTGAGGGCCCTTGCTTGGTGGGTGGGAGGTGGGCTCGGTGCACTCTCTGCATACTGTCCTCTCATGTTCCTCGAACACACGGGCCCTGTAGGCTCTATCATTCTCTGAACAAGTGCAGGTGACTGCATACCCACTGCCCAGCAAGCAGTAGAGATGTAAGTAGGCTAGGGTCAGGATTTTCTGTTCATGTCTTCCTTCTATGGATGCCCTGGCCTGGCAGGTACCAAGAGAACAGGACCAGAAACTGAGTATGTGGCCAGCTGCAGGAGTATCCCCTCAGAGTCTTCCAAACTTTTTGGGACCACTTCTTTTGGGGACTACTGAAGGTGCCTGTAGGCAGTTGCTAGGTAGCCAACTGGTAATGCCTTTCTTGAACTACTATCCCTGAGACCAGGTTGTGACCCTGCTCTTGGAGCTGGAGGTAAAATGAAGTGGAGGGCTACACTGGCTTGGAGGCTACATTCGGAGTTGTGACTGCTCCCAGGTTTAGGGGAAGCTACGTGGAGCTAAGGTTTTTGGCTGAAGTGTGGCTGTGGTCTAAGAGATTGGGACCAGTCCCCAGTGGTCCTGTAGGACTGTAGAGAGCAGTATGGCCTTGGATTTGTGTGAGGAGGGAGTCTGGGAAGTTCTTTGGGCAGAGGATGAATGGTGTGGGGCGGCAGGTAGAGAGCAGAGAGAGCTGGGATGCAGAAGCCAGGTGGTGGCAGATCCCAGCAGGTTCCCATGGGGAGGCTAGCTATCAGGAGGCAACCATCTTGACAGAGGCTGCTGGGGCAGGTAAACTACAGCAGGTTCAGGCAGGAGTAAGAAAATGGACACATTTCCCATAGATGGAATAAGTTAGTGCTATCCACAGAGCCTTCATCCTTCCTTCCCACCTGACTTGCCTAGGGTCTGTACTTGGTATCCTACCCTACAGATATACCTGTAAGGCAGTGGGTGACTGGGACCTGTCAGGACCTTAGGGTAGAGTAAGTTAAATTAGGCCAGGGAGTCATCAGAAGAGGAGTGATGGGACAGAGAATTGTTTCAACATGTGTGCTGACATTATATCATTGGGCACCTGGGCAGGAGCTAAGTATAATTTCCATGATAGGGAAAGATCATTAGTGGCAAGTAGAGAGGTGGGCAGTGTCCAGACACATCCTAGGGCCCTGGGAGTGGAGGCCCTTTCCTGGACCCTGTCTGAGGGTTGCAGATTTCCACGTACTCAGGAAGGGGTTCCTTGTTATGGCCCAGATCCCTGCTACTCTGTGTTCAGAAAGGTGCTATTGACCCAGCTCCGTCTCTATTCCCAGACCTGTTGCTAGGACATGGGGGCAGGTATGACTAATCCAGATTCCTTAGTTCCGGTCTAGGATAGGGCTGGATGATCCGGAACACATTTTTGAGGCCCAAAGAAGAGGTGGCAACAGCCACTGTGGGAACAGCAAGCAAGCAAGCAAGCAAGCAAGCAAGGGAAGCCTGTGTGTGCTGCAGCTGAGAACAGACAGCCCTGCAGCAGGATGGGTTTCAGTCAGGCTTGGGGAAGAACTTCCAGATGTTAGGAATTAGAACCTGGGTATAAGAATCTGCTTGCTAAAATTTTATGGAAGGAAGGCTGAAGGTTTTCTCCCCACCTTCAACAGGTGGGTGTCAAAGGTACACAAGAGTGTCCACCCACTAGAGCAGCCGCCATCCTTGTGTTGAAATGGCTGACGTCCAGGGTTTCGAGGGTGGCTCCATGGCTTCTCGGACTGAGCTTTCCTCCTGGCTTCTCGGACTGAGCTCTCCCCCTGGCTTAGGATCAGTTAGGATTCCAGGTTGCCAAAAGGGCCTGATCAGTTCTGCATTCAGCCAGGGTTCAGATGGGGACGGCCAGGGACAGCAGTAGAGAAGAGCTGGAATCTAGGTCCTGCTGCCATCTTGCTGTGTGGTCAGCTGTACCCTCACAGCTTCTTTTTTGTGTCTACAAAGCTGACCTGAGGCTGTGGCAGAGAGTGGAAGATGAAACACACAGCCTCAGAGCAGAGCGGAAGCTGGGGAGGGAGGTGAGGAGAGGACCTGTCCCTGGGCTGCACGTGGGGTGCCCACGATACTCCTAACACACGTGGCACTTGACTGGAGGGGTGGGCAGGCAGAGGCGGGCCCGTATGGCAGTCTGGGCAGCTTACAGAAGCTAGCTCTGCCCTGGCTGTCTGGCTGTCTGGTTCTCTGGGTCCACACAGGTGCCTTCTCTGCTCTCCATAGCCTGGGACTGGAGAGTCTGGCCCTGGTGATACTCAGCTGGGTAAGGCGGCAGCCATTCCTCCCTTGCCCCTGGAAGGCTAAGCTAATTGATACCACAGCAGAGGTCCTGGACAGCATTGGCTCTCAGGCTGGCGGATTCCCAGGTGGTGACCAGCAGCTGTCAGCCTGGCGCCCTGTGGACCCAGCTTGGGCTTCTGGGAAACTGCCAGGCTGCCAGAACAGCTCCCCCCTCTTCCTCAGGGTGCTGTCCCCTGAAGCCTTCCCAGCAACCAACAGGCAGGTAGGATAGATGAGAGCTCTATGTACTATTCTAGAGAGTAGCCCCATGGCCAAAACATGGACAGGCCAATGGTGGCATGTAGGCCCAGAACACAGGGCTTTCTTGGAATGTGGGCATGCTGATGACATTTGTTTGTCTGAGCCTTTGTTTGTGGCATGGACCTGTCCCTGTTCCACTCCTAGCCTTGAAGGAGGGTAGTCAGCTAGGCCTCCATGGCTCCTGACCTGGATTGGGCATGGAGGGAGATAGCCAGAGGCATGTCTGGTACACAAGTGTGATCTTAGCAACCTCTGGGAATAGTGCAGAATCTAAGGCACTGTTCATAGCAGGGATCTTTCTGTGGAACCCACATTCCCTTCCTGGTCCCCTTTGTATCTTAGCTCTTTCCCAGTAGGACTTGTAGTTTTCTTTAGTGAAGAAAATGTGGTTTTGCCCTGGGCTATAATCAGGGTGTGTAGTGCTAGGTATGCCAAGGTGGCAGGCTAGGGGAAAGGCTATCTGAGAAGTAGGCTTGGTTCTTGGAGTTAAGTACTGTGGCTGCTCTTTGGGGGCCTGCAAAGTTCTGATGGGGCAGGGTCTCGGGGCTCACAGGCTTTCCTGAAAGCAAAGGTCCTGCAAGAGGACCTTTCCTTGGCTCATTTCTACTTTCTATTCTTTCTCTTCCTGTGGGAAAAGAGGGCCCTTTGGTAGAGCCTGGGCCTCAAACCCTGGTGTCCATGGGCCAGGAAACTGGTAGTTTGATTTATACTGCACTTCAGAGTGAGCTAACAAGCGCAGGGATGGAGAGGAGCTCACCTAGCTAAGGACAATGCTGAAGCTCCCGAGTCAGGTTTCTCTAGGGTAATTCTTTCTGAGGGACAGAGGGACCCCGAGGGAGATGCGGATGCTAAGGGTCCTGTCTCCCTGGTCCTGACTCACTGGGTTGCTGAGAACATGGGGAAGGAAGTAAGGAGTCATCGGGAATTAAAGGAAGGCTGGGGTTCCTGACAGCTGGAGCTGGTGGGGCACCATTTCAGCCAGGCACTGAGTTGTGAAGAGATAGGGAAGCTGAGGCTCCTACAAGTAGGAAGCAGCTGAGGTACTGTTGGAATCCAGGTATCCTGCTAGTCTTTCGGTTTTTAACATGCATATGCATGGGTCAGGGCTATGTGTTGGTCAGGCTGTGCACACGTGCATAGGGCGGCTCTCCAATACCACCAAGAAACCATTCAGAGAAAGAAAACCTACCTACAGTGTAGACAGGCAGGCACATTCTTGTCCACTGGCACTGACTGTGGAGGTGGCCTGGAAGAGGCCCCAGGCTCTCATCCTGGCTTGGAATGGAAGCTACAGCCTAAAGGCTTCCTAGGTGCAGAGAGGACCTCTGGCTGTCCTCCCAAAGCCTTGGACTGGGAAGGGGGTGAGGCCTTTCTATCACTGGGTTCAGGACACCACTCCCACCTGGGATGCTTCTGGGACAGGAACAGAACTGAGTCCCAGAAAGGTGCCTCCTGGCAGTTCCTGCAAGACAAGCTCAGCCCCAGGGTAATAGGGTAAAGAATAGAAGCTGGCAACTTTCTGGTCAGAGTGTCTGACTGGTAGGCCCCAGGAGATGTGGTTCAGTGGCGGCAGAAAGGGGAGGATGGGGTATTTGCCGGAACCCTTCAGATCCTGGCGCGCCCAGAACATAGCTAGCACTTTGCTTTACTGAAATGGGGCCAGTGGAGGCCTGGAGGCAGCAGGAGGGGCCAGGGTCAGCGCGCAGAGGGAAGTTTCCAGCGGCGGACCGGCTCCCTGCAGGGAGAGCTGCGCTAGTCCGGGACTGGAGCGGCAGACACCCTGGCGGCCTGGCCTGGAGGAGGCTGCCGCGCGGGATGGAGCCCTCCCAAGGTCACCGG